AGCTCTCGGGCGCCTGGGCAGCCGCGCTCTGCGGCTTGTCATCCTCTGAGAGCGGAGGGCCCGCAGCGCTGCAGGGAGGAGGGGCACGTGAGAGGCAGAGTTGTGGGGAGCCCCGAAAACCTCCCTCCATGCGGAGACCAATGAAAACAGACTTCGTTTCCTGGACCCCTAAGCACGCTGCTCTTGTGGGGGCGAGGCCCTCCCCGGGAGCCGGGCTCAGCATCAAGTCCGGCGACAGGACGCTCCCGGGCACCCGGTCCCCTGCCCACATCTGCTTTTGTGCACGAGCTCCAGGCCGAACCTACGGGCCCACTACCCCACTTTACGGCTCTGCAGGGCTGAAAGGCGCTCACTTTTCTAGCCGGATCCTGCTGGTGGGGACCGGCAACCCATTTCCGCTATTTCCATCTCATCTCATTCTCTCAGTGACTCCTTGTCTCTCAGCTGGTTTTTTTTAATCCTCAACCAAGAGTATGTTTTCATTGATTTGAGAGAGAGCGGGAGAGAGGAACATCAATGTGGGAGAGAAACATTGACCGGTTGCCTCCCACAGGTGCCCTGACCAGGAATCAACTTGTACCTTTTGGTGTCCGGGACAAGGTTAGAGCTGAGCCGCCCAGCCAGGGCTTCTATTGAATTCTTTTAGAAAGAAATGTATAGGCTCCCAATACGAAGCCTGGTCTTTTACATTCATTCTTTCCTGTGTTCAGCTAGGACCTTCAAAACATAAAGCTGTGGCAGAGACAGCATCAGCTGACTCTAATGCTCCACATCACGTGTGTACACGTGCATATACATGTACACACACACGTACAGTGACATAAAGGTACACATATGTATAGAGGTACACATGTGCATAAGTGCACAAACACACATGGATAGGTGTAGACATACACGTAAAACGTGGGTTATGAACATGCCTACATGTATAGACATGCACACACATGTACAGGTGCACATAGATGTGTACGGACATGTACACACGTAAAGATGTTTCCGACGTACACAGCTACCCACAGAGAACTATGCTGCCCCCAGAAAACACTATGATGTCACATCAATTTGGAGAGTGAGATACTGGCTCAAAAACAGGCAAGTGAATCTAGGAAAGCAGCCCGGAGGAGACCGCCGTGCATCCCGGCGCGTCTGTCGTGTCAGACGCCAGAGAGGTCAGCGGGGAGGCCAGGACAAGCAGCGGCACCAACCACCATGGCAGACGGACACGTCTCAGGTGCGCCACCTGCTCGGCTGGATGGCACCTACCTGCCTGTGGTGGTGTCGGCCCGGCCCTCCCCGGCGGAGCTCTTCTCCTGCCCCGGGGCCAGGGTCACGGTGGAGGTCGTGTCGGCCTTGGCGATGGTCACCTCCCGGGCCTTGGAGGTGTCCTCCCCGCAGTGGGGGCAGTAGCTGGCGTTGCTGACACGGGAGGCGCAGTCCTTGTGGAAGCGGTGCGAGATGCTGCTCTCGGGCTGGCACTCCATGAAGCTGCCCTGGGCGGGAAAGCGAGGGTCGTGCTTTAAAGGGGGCTGGTATGCAGGAAAGCAGACACTGTGACGGAGCCTGAGGGAGGCCAGCAAGGGGGGGCCCTGGAATCCTGCCTGCGTGTGGCCTTCACCAGGCCCCACCCCGCGCCCCAAGCAGCGGCCGGGTTCTCTGCCGTCTGCACATGGGTGAGGCCACCGACGGCCCAAGAAGGACCATGGGGGACAGACCAGAAAGCACAGTCAGCCGAGCGCCAGGAGGAGGGCGCTGAGACACTCATCTGCAGAGGCCCCTCAGCCCCTGGCATGCAGCGGCCTCGGGCAAGGCCTCCGGGTGACACAAAGGGCGAGCTGGAGACCAAGGAACACACAGAAGCGGCTTCCCTCCTCCCCACCAGAAGCAAAGCGCGCGTTGCAGACGGGAAGGCAGAGGGTGGCATCCACAGCCACCCCGCAGGACGCGGGAGGCGCTGAGCACCAGAGGGCACGGGTGTTTGTGGGAGAAGTGACTGTGGAAGACGACCCAGGAACAACAGGAGGCGAGGGCAGGAGCAGCAGAGCAGGCCCTTGCCAGGGCGGGGCTGTGCACTCACACGGGCGC